AAACACCACCAACCCAGAATCAACCTCGAGAAGCAAATTCGTCCCCTGGGTAACCCAGGTTTAAACGTGTTTTTTGCTTGTTATTCGCCATAGCACGATTAAGAATCCATTCGCTTGTACATTGGCCCTGTAACACTCAATTTCCGCCCGAGACACTTAAACCCTCTTAACCAAAAATATTATACATTAAATGTCAAATTTCGGGCAAAAAACAGTAAACACTTTAACCCAATTCAGACTCAGATATGAACAATACAATTCATAGACAATATACAAGATTTGCAAGAACATAAATCTGTTAGTTATAGTCGAATCAACTTTCATTATGTGGAAAAATGGTTTCTTTGACGCTCTGTAAAAATTGACAAAGCATCGCACTTACGGGACTCGCTAATAATGTCTGCTTGAGATCATAAAACACTGCTGAGTCCTCCTGCGTCAAAAACGTGATGGCAACACCGGTTTTCCCTGCTCGACCGGTTCTACCAATACGATGAGTGTAGCCTGATAAAAAATTTAAAAACAATGACACGTTAGCCGCCATAGGGCACTGGCTATGTGGTAAGTCCCGTAAATTTAGGCAATAGACCTTCCTCACAATACCCGCCACCTTTGGAAGCGCGCAAGGTTGATGGGATGGGATGTCACGGGGTTTCTCATCTGAGGGAATAAATAAACTCGGCCGCAATTACTTTTATTGACAGGTTTTATAAGTTGTTTGCCTCCTTAGAAACCACGCGATATTTCCTTTAACCCATAAATCCTTCGTTCGTGAGATGGCGGGTATCGTGAATAAGGTCTCTTCCAGCAATTACCGAATAGATCCAATTTGACTGAAACATCAAAACAATCGTTCAAAATTGTCAAAGAATTACAATAATATAATACCTAAAAACCAAAAGTGTACGTGGATGAAGAAATGAGACAAAATTAGACTTATTACATACTGGTTAACGCCGTACTTAATGAAGTTTGTTTATCTGTTAGTATGAAAGTGAGTTAAGATAAGATTATCAACTCTGTTTGTCTCTGTGAAATTTCTTTTATTTTAAGCCTAAGGTTTCAATGTTAAACTCATCACTTACCTTCAATTGACTTGGCCATATCATAGTTAAGAACAAGTGAAACATCCCTGGAAAAGATATGAAATGAAGAAATCAACTTTGAGAGATTTTACTTGCGCTATAAAAAACACACATTTAGTCAAGAAAAAAAAACTTCATAAAGTTGACCATCATCCTTGTTCTCAAGGTTCTCTCCGATTAACCGGTATCCAGGTTGAGTTTGGAAATAAGTGTAAGAAAAAAATCTTTAGCCCAGGAGCCAACAAAAACAACAAAACAAAGAAACTGTTTATCATGAACTTACTTGATATCAATACCACGACCGGCTACATCAGTGGCCACAAGGATGTCCTTAGCACCAGCTTTAAGACTCGACAAAGCAAACTCTCTGAAAGAAAACCAACAAAATGAATCTTTATGACAGGTTCAGAATTAAGATGTACATGTTATGTAACCGCGTATGTTCGACTCAGTTGACGAACTAATGAAACTGAGTGTAGAGATGCATGGCAAAAATGTTTGCAAGGTTTAATCAAGCAAACGACAGCGGGCTTGTCGTGCTTTCAAAAAAATAGGGCCCAATCGAAGATTATCGTTGACAGAGCTGTTTAACCTAAAAAAAGGTTTTTTTTCGAGTTTATTTGCTATTGTCTGAATTGCAACTACCACTGCGACGATCATATCTTCATTTAAAATTTGTACTTCCGCAGTTCACATGATCTTCATGTTTCATTCCTTTCACAGATTAAGATGAACTCAACAAATTGGCCTGCTCCAAATGTATGGGTCTTCATAGCTCAAATGGTCAAACACTGCAGCACTAACGCAGAGGCCATGGATTCGTTGAAGTCCCCAATTTGTTTTTTCGCGTTTATTTGCAATCTTAAATTACAACTACCACTGCGACGATCATATCTTCATTAAAAAAAAAAAAAAAAAAAAAAAAAAAAACGGCAACAGTGGTGTACTAAACATTCGGGAATTTCACTGAAACATCCTTCCATCCGTCCAATACCCTTGTTTTCTTAGTTTCCTACACTCTATGTGTCTCGCTAGATTTATGTAACAGACATTTAACAACCATGACGAAGAAATAACAAGAGGTTACATCTAAACCTCACCTCTGTTCTTGGTTTCGTCCACCGTGGAGAGTTGTAGCACGAAACTATAAGAAAAAATTCAGAAAGTTATGTCAGTGCCCGCTCTCGGGAACGAAAATTAAAAAAAGGGAAGGTATGCAACTGAAGAAACAAAAGGATAAAAACGATCGAAGATGAAATCAAATACTGGGCAAACCAGGCACTTTAAGAATGACGGTGAGAAACGTTTGCCCCGCGTGATCACGATCCGCCTTATACGCTGTCCGTCAAAACTGACGACGAAAACAGGATTTGCTCGTTTTACCAGGCCCAAAAATCTCATATATAAAAACAATTAAGTAATTCGCAATGGCGTTCAAGCAGCCACTGCTTCACTTAAGTACGTTTAGCCTGCTAGCAAACTCTCCATGTATGGCGAGCGAAGGCGCGAGCGTGCTGCTCTCGCGTGACTTCTCGCGACCCCACACCCCGGCCCCCCCTCCTCACCCCAATGGAGAGCTTACTCGGAGGCTAAAGTTCGTTTGGTAACAAATTACAACAAAACCGTAGCCTACATCGAAGAGAAAAGATATAAAATCACCCACGCCCAACGCCACAAACGATAACTTACGCCCATTTTTTCCAGGGACTTGGCGAGCACGTCCGCTCACTAAGACAGACGGAAAAAGAGTTAATCAGCTAAACTTTATTACAGATATGTCGTCTATTAAGTAACAATGAGCAACCTTTAGATTTGATTCGGAGGGCGTGATCGATGACTAAGAGTATGACATTGGAATTTGAAGCCATTTATGTTCTCAGGTCTCTCACTTGTTCCCGCTGCTAACAAAACGTAGAGAGACTTGAGAGATTCAGTTGTTGTGAAAAGTGTTTATCTGGAGCTCATGAACCTGGTTTGAAAGCTCCTACTCAATCTTCTACTCGTAATCCAATCTCAGGCTGTGTTCATACTATAACGGACAGCTTTTCGTGCCGAAGAGAGAAGCTATCCGCTTTAGTATGAAAACTTATCCGATATGTGACATGCCACTTAAGAGATCGGCCTGGCGCAGCTTCGCTCCGTTACAGAAACTGCTCCCAAATCACCGTTGTTATGTGTGAACAGAAGCCCTACCAGGTATGATTTTGGTGCCGGCGCACAAGCTCTCCGGTATAGTGCGATTATAGCCTAAAGGTCCCTGATATCCTGTCGCAAGATCTCAGATAGAAACAGCGGAGAAAACTAAAGGGGCCAACGAAGACTAGCCAGCATTGAAGACGGGAAAAGGGGAAGTAAGGCACGCGAGTACATGAAAGGCGCGCGATGGCTTCCCTCCTTCCTCGCGTAGCCATCTCGTCCACCTTATCCCCTTCAAACGCCTTCCACGCGGACTAAACGAAACAAGGAGGGAGTCAGTGCATGAGAGCTCCGCCCTCGCTCTCACCGATCCTCGCTCACTTTCTGTGGGTTTCTTTTTTTGTACGTCATCTCAACTATCCGCTGCGGTGACAAGCAACTCTCACCTTCTTTTGATTGACAAATATGATCGGAGGATCAATGCCAGAGTTCCGCATCTCTAGCAACTTCTTCCTGTCAAGGAAACAACAATAAACACTTTTAAAATGACTGGTCCCGAGCGAAACAGCTAATATTATTTCCTAATAAGCTGAGGGAGACATTGAGATTCAACAGAAACAAAATCAACTGTTTACCGAAGTGATTTGTTATATAGCTGGAAATTCATTAAACCTCGCTGTAACGGTCAACGTTCGCAGGTAACAGTGCAATGTTGCCCTCTGACGTCATAGATTGGTAAGAGATTTTGGCGGGAAACAGTTTAACTGTTAGATGTAATGTGACCTCGAAGTAACCAATGAGACGCGCGCGCGCAGTTGCGAAGAGATTTCCAGCTATATAACAACAACAATTATATGGCAGTTTCCCCACAATACTAATCAAAAGTCGCTTTTCTCCCTATAGGACCAAAATGTCAGTCTGAGTTAATATTCCTCTGAATTGGACAAAAAGGTACACAGCAAAACGTTATTGGTAGACTAACATAAAAGAAGAGCAGCGTTTTACGATGAAAAAACTACAGTCCACCGCAATTAATCTCGCGTTAATAAATTTACATACATTGCTACAGTTTAAGAAACATATAAAGGATGATACACGCAGGCGTACCTCTTTGCTTGTTCTTTAACCAAATAAACTTTCTGTTCCACTCTCTCGACTGGTCTGCCTGTGAAGTGATGAGAGAAAATTGAATTACTTTAATACAGAAACACAAATAGAAGAGCTGCCCGCTTTAATAACCTGGACAATATTTCAAAACCTCCAATTATGTTTTCCTAGACAAGAAAACTTTACTAAAAATTAGGCTTTACCCTGGGTTAAACTTAGCTGATATCTTTTGAGGAACCGGGCTCACAAGTTGAACCTGACAACTGCAGTTTAGATCATAACGTGGTAAGCTATTTCTCAGGAAATCATCCCTGGCATAATTCAGTATGGTGTAAAACTTGTTGGACATGCAGCGTCAATGACCGATGTGTGAACCGTCATAATCCAGCAAAGGGGAAAAAAAGAAACAGAAAGATCCCCGTTACACTGTATATCCGATTGAAGGAGGGTTAAAAAAGACTTGTTCTTAACAGTATTTACCTATAGAACCGATGTAAACCACAGCTGGGCGCCTGAAGGAAAAACAAATAATCGCAATGTTAGGTTCCCAGTCACTTAAGGTTGCTTTTTAACAAACAATTCTTGGTCAATTCTTCTCGTTTTAAGATGTAGATCAGCATCTAATTTCTCCCTAACGTATCACTGCTTAAATGTACAGGCGATGATAAAAATGATAAGAATTGGAATATGGGTGCTGATATTAGGGGGCAGCGTGACCGAGCGGGTTAGTGCGTTGGACTTACAATCCGAAGACCCTGGGTTCAATACCCGCCCTAACCGCTGGCTGGATTTGTTCAAATCCCCAACCAAGGTTGTAAATATCCAACTGGTTTGCCTCTATCAAGTTGGTATTGTTAGTCTCGTTACGTTTATATGCCAATTCCAAGTTGTCTCAAGCCTCTGTTTTAAAACGAAGCTAAAGTGTGCGAAGTCTCTGATATGAAAACGATTTTTTAATTCTCAAGCAAATGAAACTCATTTTCACAAATGGGGTCTTGCACACGGCCTCGCTTTTTTAAAGTGAGGACGTTTCGAGTACGGAAATGGTCTATTTGACCTATTTTTTCAGTCGTTTGCTCGGTCTCACCAGCCTTGCGCGGTAAATACTGCTGCGGGGTTAGAATGCGAGCAGTCTCTCTTTTTCTTCAGATTTAGGGGGGGGGGGGGGATGCACGCGCGCGAGCGTCGAGCGAGACGCAAGAAACGAGGGCGGCAGGCCGAGAAGACAAAAGAGTCTCTCTCTTTTTTCGTGCCTCTCCCCTCTGGTGCCTTCAGTCACGCGCGTTTTGCTCGACGGACCAAGAATAAAGAGAGACTGCTCGAAATTTACCGGGGGTATATACCGGAATTAGTTATTATTGAGTTATTTATAGTTAATGTGAGCGGCTTTGTATGCGGATAAATCGTCAATGAAGGATATCTATTTAGAAAACAATGTTTCAGTAAATAGTGAAACCAATAACTGACCTTAGATAGTTTCTGGCCAAGCGTTCTACTTGTGGAGGCATTGTCGCCGTGAACATAACAGTCTAAACAAGGTAAAACAGAAAAGTCAATGATACGAATCTCAGTTCACTGGTCTTTAGTAATATTGTTCAAACGTTCAGCTGGTGGTTACACTGCATTCTAGTAGTGTCAACTGACTAGAGTCTCGACATCATCTCCTCGACGAGACGTCTCCTATTTTCGTTGTTGAAACAAACTAAATACGAAGGCTACAAACAGATATTAGAGAGTTTACGCAACAGGACGGCATGAAGAGAAGGACGGCAAATGCTTGAGTGTGACAAATGTGACAGGGCTATTAATTGCGTGTTTTGTCGTGGTCTTCCCATATCATTAATGTTTTCTGGTTTCTTAAAAAAAGGTCTGTACAAAGGAAAGTGAAGTTTGGCGGAAAGTTTTTTCAACCAAAATTATTGTCACGCTTGTCACGCAAGGTTTGCCGTCTTCTTTCCTCTCCCGTCCTGTTGTGTAAGTTCACTATTATATTAAAGGCAACTTCATGTGAACCGTGAAAATTCTTTAAGCCCCGCCTACTTCCAACAAGCTCGCCGGTCAATAAACACTGAAACATTGAGCCCGCGGTTCAATTAATTAATATATTTATACGAACCTGTCTAAACTTGTCCTTTCCCATATAAGCTAACAGCTTTTCTGGATCCTCGGCATCTTCTGAATCAGGTTTGACGTTGCTTACTGGAAGATGCTCCAAAATCTTCTGAACATCAGGTTCAAAGCCCATGTCAATCATACGATAGCCTACAATAGTACCACCGACATTTGCTCAGATCTTCTAAGACGAATGATTGAGTAGTAGGGCTTTCTATCGAATTTTCCTTTGTAAAACAGCTTATTCTTTGTCTGATTCAAAATTTCGCAAAAAGAAAAAACACAAAACAAACAAACAAATTAAAACAACTAACCTCATCAAGAACAATATATGAACAGCGACTGAGTACAAGGTATCGATTTTCTGCAAGAGAAAGAAGAACAAAAAGCTTCAATCAATTACTTCAAATCTTATGAACAGCGAAACTGCAACTCCATAGATTCACATTTGCAGTCTCTAAGAGAAGATACCGTTAGATTCTTTTTCGCCTTGAATTTTGAATAACTTAGTTTAACTCTATACCATTTCCAATTCCGGCACCGCAATCAAATGGACACCAGAACTGAAGGCACGAAAAATAGAGAAACCCTGAAAGACAAGGAGAGGAACAGTAGGGAAAGAACTAATGGAGTTAGGACCGGGGTCCTGGATGGAAACCTTCATCGATTCCAGAAACAGAGGCCGTTGAAGAAGGAAATTTCCTACCCTGGTTAACCCAAATAGAAACTTACTACACTACCACAAGACAACTATACTTGGCTAAGGACGAGGAGAAAAAGAAGATGGCGTATTTTGTTGTATTACAGTGTTATTTCGAAAAAACGCTAGAAAACCAATGATTGCAGTTATCGAATCATCTCGTGATACTGTAGGGTGCCAACACTGCACAAGCAGAAATGAGAAATATAAAGAAAACATTTACCGAGTACATCAATCAGACGACCAGGTGTAGCAATGACAATCTGAAAAAAAAAAAATTATAACGGAGTAAGTACTCAGCCATACATGCTAATATAAAAGGCAACAAACGCTTCTCTACAACTCGACACTTTAAAAAGGAGAGGGAATCTGGGACGAGTTAACTTCTGCAAAGACGTCTGGGACTGTTGCTAGGGACATGGAAAAAAATTGGCCAATAGCTGACAGGCGCTTCCCTAGTAACCATCCCAGAAACAATTGCGGCACGCATTTCGGCTCCAAGGGCCCGTTTCTCGACAGTCCCGATTATTAACAGCCCGGTAAGCTGTCTCTCGTTTACATCAAAGATCGAGGTTTCAATAGTTTTGCATCTAACATAACTATAAGTTACTGAAACAAAATGGGGTAGTTTGCTGGCCAGGACCCGCGCTCTTATTCTTTATATTTCGATTTGAATATTTGATTTCTGGCCCGAAAAGTTACCGGAACTTTTCGAGAAATGGGCCCCAGTTCCCTTCCCATTTCTTAAGTGGTGAGGAAAGTTTTCTTCACCCTCTTTGTCTGGAGAGTGCGTTGTAGTGTGGCTTACGAGGCAGGTGTTCGATCGGGCGGAGGGAGGGGGGGGGATGAAGAGGGGGAGGGGGTTTCGGGCGCACAATACCGCGAGGAGCGTGTGAGGGAGGAGGGAAGTTCCTCCTTCCTCTCTCGGTCTGGCCACGAAGGCTAGTTTCAGCGTACGAAAAGGGAACTAGAGATTAGCTTACCTCGCAACCAAGCCTTAGCTGAAATCCTTGGTCCTCGCGAGAAAGCTGGAGATAAAATGTATCAAAGGTAGGTGTTAACTGACTTTTTATTTATTCTTTTGTGGCTGACTGCCTATCTCTCTTATCGATTTCAAAATCCCATTTGACACAAACGCTGTATTTAGACTCTGATAAGCGACTACCTCTGGGCTGAACAACCATGACATTCTGTTTCACCCATTTCTCGGGAATCACTTTATTTCGGAAACCGAGCAACAACTGTCTCCACGAATTATAGGAAAGCAATTCTTAGCTCGGAGGGAAGTTGGAGAAGGAATAAACGCACGGTTGGAAACCTTTGTCCTGTTCCATTCTTCTCCCGACCGGGAAGCGAACTCCTACCGCACGAGCTACGACATGTCCTCGCCACAGATGTCCGCTCTAACAATATGTAGGATGAACTACGTTGCACCTCGTTAAGGCGGATTCGATTGATTTAAGGTGAGGTTACACGGGACGATTCGCAACGACGATTTTTATCGCAACACAGCGTTGCAATATTGTTGCGACATTGTTTTGAATTGTTACAACATTGTTCCAACATTGCACCCAGGGTAGCTACGACACCACCGATAAAGACATTGTCAGACTTATGCGTAGATTTCTTACCCCACCAATCACAGACACTGTCCTGACGCCAAGAGGACGACCAAACTTGGCAGCTTCATCTTCGATCTGGCAAGATTAGAAAAACAAACGCACCGTTGGCTCTAATTTAACGCGGTATACCTTTGTAACAATAAGAGTGCTTACTTTTAATCTACGGCACGAATCCTGGTAAGTTAGTCGAACTAACAGTTTAGTTTACTGCTGACGAGAAGTTGTACTACTGTCTTAACGAACAAGCTTTTTGATAATTTTGTAAATGCTTCTTGGCTAAGTTAAGTATTGTAATTAGTAAGAAGTTAAGCATTGTAATCAGTAATAATGTAAGTTTTGTAATTAAATGTAATGATTGTAAATAATGATTGTTCCTGAAAAGCCCCTTTGGGGAGGAAACAAGAAAGTATGTATGTACGTATGTACTAATCCCATGAATGTAGGTAGACCACAAAAACTCGGCTTTTTTTCTTAAGAAATAACCGCTGCTCTTAAGGCACAACGCAACGGAAGCGTGAATTCTTGCACGCGAAACGGTTGGGGCGAGTTGACATGAGGCCCTCATGCCAACTCGCCCGAGGGCGAATTGACCAACTAACCTGTTGTACCAGTTCCCTGGTGAGCTGATATGAGGCCTTCACGCCAACTCGCCTAAGGGCGAATTGACCAACTAACCTGTTGCGCCAGTTCCCTAGTCGGAGCTAAGATTACAGCATAAGGTCCCTTATCAGCATCTGCGTCACGTTCAATCTTTGGCAGCCCCATAATCCACACCAATAAAGGAATCAGAAATGCTGCTGTCTTACCACTACCTTTTTATTGAAACAAAACAAAAAAGAAGTTTTATCCGCCTATTCTCAATATCTGTGTGACTAGACTACGAGTAGTCCCCATTTTTCCTCAGGGATAGTAGAGGGAGCGAAACGCGAGCGCGCGTGGCTCGCCTTTCTCGCGTGGGGTGATTTTCAAGCGCGCTCGCGTTTCGCTCGCTCTACTGTCCCTGAGGAAAAATGAGGACTACTCGTAGTCTACCGTGTGACCTACTGAAATACAATTCCAATAGTTAAAACTTCCCAATAGTCTACCCTACTGAGTTCTCACTTCACCTGTTTCAGCTACTCCTATGATGTCCCTGTTCTGAAGTCCAATAGGAATGGCTTGGCGCTGAATTGGTGTTGGTTCCTATGAACAAACAGGATAGATCATCTACGAGTTGTTCTAAAGTTTTACTTTTGGTTTGTACCAGTTAAAAGAGTACATTACCATTACCAAACAGTACCATTTGTACCAGTTAAAAGAGCTTTTTCACATGGGAAAATCATATAATTCTACCCTACAGATAAGATACAAATAAAAGAAATCGACTTTATTTATAAGTCAGTTGTATTCAAAGTGGTCATCCAAGCCGCACGAAGGTCTAGCCGTTTGCCAGACGCAGAACCTTCTGTCTCAGTTCTTTTGTAACCTTCTAATCTGGACCATTGCCGATCTACCAACTGAGGTAGCCCTGCTGTGGTTAAATAAGTGACTGGATTAAGAAAAGCATAGCCGATGATGCTTCGAGATTTCTTTTCAATGTATACTCTGACAGTCTAACCCTCATACCAAGTGTGCAAGGAATAATAACATTGCCTCCGTCTTCCAAACCTTACAAACTATGAATATCGATGTAAAGAAACAGTTTAACTTCAATGGGAAAATTAAACCAGCGCCATTCAGGTTGTGACATTTGGTGGGTGGTGGATAAGTGACTAAGCTAAAGGGTTACCGGTCGTTTCGATAAAAGTTAGTTCCTTCGAGGTGTAAATAGATTCACGCACTTAACTTAAAGGGTTACCGGTCGTTTCGATACAAGTTAGTTCCTTCGAGGTGTAAATAGTTTCACGTACTTAACTTAAAGAACGAAGAATATTCACCCAAAATGTTTTTCTTGTTCAATTGCAAACTTTAAAAAATAATAATACTTGAGGTGATCGAAATTTTTGTGCAGTTTCACTGCTTGGGTCCGTACCGAAACGATACGGCTGGCTTACCTCATATTGCAGTTTGTCTACAATATCTAATATTGATGTTGGAAGGGTGCTTTCTCTCCATGAGCGCAGAGGAAATGGAATCTTGCCACCTGCAATGAGGAGGGAGAAAATACAGTAAAAACCCGTGAGTAAGAACCTGTATTTTCCCTAGTTAGCCTTATCACGTTCTTACATAAATGGTAATAAGAACAAATTTAGGCTATTTAGGTTCTTAAATTCAGTTGTTGTTTTTCTTCAGTTGCGACGGAAATGACGATTAAGACTGCAACAATGTTAGTATTTAACAGTACAATAACACAGAGTAATCCACAGACAAAAAGAAAAAAAGCACAGATAAACCAAGCTCAGGACCAAAAACGACAACATTTCAACAGCCTGTCCTAGAATCTCTTGCCTTTTGTAGAGATGGCAAAATCTTCTCGCAAGATTCGCCAATCTCTTTCCACCATTTCCTCCAAGGATTTTTTGCTCCAGTGACGATCATCGAACGCACGCTGTCTTTCCTGATCACGCTGCTTCTTTATTCGCGTCCTAAAAAAGAAGGAACCACGAGTCACGTTTACGGCAAACGGCAAACGGAAATTTGTACCACGTGACCAAGTTTTCCCTTTCCTTGTCGTTTATTGTTTTTTATATCTACTTAAAAGCAGAGCTTCAGGGTGCGTTTCTTCACTAAAATTCGAGATCGGATTAAAAATCCGGATTTGGATTTTAGTAAAGAAACGCACCCTTAGATTCTTTGACGAGGACGACTACGAGTAGAAGATTTTCTCAATACTGAGTATTGCTCAAGCGTGAACCAGCGTCATTTTGGCGGGAAAACGTGATAGCCGTCGACATACAACAACGAGTTTTAGCGAGGAAGTCGTAGTAGCGGGAGCAAGTTATCAAATGTAAGAAAGTTTTAGCATTTTGCTATCGGGAGAGGGCTTAACTTCCTTCAGTATAAATAACTGTACTAAACCTTTTGGTAAAAAAAAAGTAAAATAAAGCTTTCCGGGGTGTCTTTTTTTGTTTGAGAACACGCGAAAAAACCTATAAGTTAAATCTCACATTTGTACTCGTCCTCAAATCTACAGCTCTCTAATATTACAAGTTTTATGCCACTGAGGTTCATCAGTAAGAAGGATTTTGGACCGTTTCTGTCTTCTCATTCCAATTCCATCTCACGTTTACCGTTTGCCGTAAGACGCTCTCTTGAGCGGATAGCCTTGAGAAACAGAAATAGTATCCACAACTGGAGCATGGTTCGAACAGAGTTTTGGATGGCGGAAAATTCGAGGCTTTTCCCGGACTTTTTCTAAGACAATACAATACTTTCTTTTTCCAGACTCAAAGTTTTCTAACAGGCAAACGATGGAAACTTCGATTGACATACATGTACACTGGAACCAGGCTTTCCAACAATGCACGGGAAACGTACATCAATCACAGTGCAATGCAGACATAAGACATAATCTGTCCCGTTCGGGACAATATTTTATCTCTTCTAAGATTGAACTAATTTTAAATGCAATTCGCGTCAGTGTTAGTAGTTTTTTTGTTACTTATTGACAAGATAAGATACTTACGCCTCTTGGGTCTTTTCCTCAACAGTTCGTCTTGTCTCCAACATTTCCTGATAAAACTTTCCTGTCTCCTTCTTTTGCCACTGGGAAGGAAAAAAGATCATTTTCCAAGGATTTTCACTGAAAAAACTATCACCTCACTACATACTAACATTGTAGTGCACAGCCGAGCCTCGCAAAGACGGCCACCTAAGGGCCGGAGTGGCTGTTGTAGAGGGGTTAACCACTTTAATCCTAATAAAGGCTAAATAGACCTTGTCACGGTTTTCGACGCCATCTTGACGAGTACGCAAACGTGTGAGAAATTACAGTGTTTGTATGAGAATCTAATGTTGAATAATTTCCGTAAAACGGCTGTTCTGAAAACAATATCAATTGTAAACTAAAGCTACAAAGCAAAGGATTGCAATAAAAAATTTTGCGGGCGTACCTGTGCTTAACTATCTCCAGAGGCTTGCTTTAGAATTTCCATATATTTGTCTGTATTTTTTCCCTGGACTTTCTTACAGACAAATGTATAGAAAATGTAAAAAAAAGTGGTTCTATGTCTTCTAGCGCATGTAACGCCCTCAATTTTTTTCAGTAGAATCCATAGGAGTGAAGCTTTAGTTTACAATTGACATTTTTTTTTTCAGAAAAGCCGTTCTACGGAAATTATTAAACATGAGATTCTCATACAAACACTGTAATTTCTCACGCGTTTGCCTGCTCGTCAAGATGGCGTCGAAAACCGTGACAAGGTCTATTCCCGGGCAAAGAAAAAATGCATCACTAGAAGATTCATATTTTCTTTGGAGACTGAGCCGCGCCCATTGAGACGTAGAAAGTTTAAAACTTTCCTGGCATCATATTAGGCAGCTTTAGCAACAACAACGGCCGGGGCAACGAGAACGGCAACGGCAAAAAGTAACAGGTTTATTAAGCAAAACAACAACTCTGCACGTGGATTACGCTTTTTTGTACCTTTTTTGCCGTTGTTGCACGACTAGGACGTGAATTTGACATTTTATGAAGGACGTGGACAAGAGAAACGATAGCTTTTCGTGTGCTTATCTAGTGTGAACACCTATCCGATATGTGACTCTCCACAGATCAGTGCGGCGCGGCGCAGCTTCGCTCCGTCACAGAACTCGCGCTGGAATCACCGCTCTTATGTGCGAACAGAAGTCCTGTCCGGTATAGTTTTCGAGTCGGAGCAAAAGCTATCTGTACTAGTGTGAACACAGCCTTAATTTTTCTTTTTCTGAACTTACTTACAGTCATTTAGAATTCAACTACAGGAAAATTCGCCAATATTGGACAACGAGATGGAATGAATGCCAAGAGGTTTGAAGCATCGCGAATTCTCTTTTTATGTGACGTTTGCGCTTCCGTCGCCGTCGTAGATGCTAGAGCTCCCTAATGAGGGACTGTGGTTAGGAACTTGAATAATAGAGACCTTAGCTTTAGATTCCAAGAACAGGACGACTTCCAGGGCGAGATTTTCAAGTAGTGCTCGCGGATGAGTCAGCGTCATTTTGGCGGGAAAACGCGATAGCCGTCGTCATTCTACTACGAGTTTTAGCGGGAACGGAAACAAGTTAGTATCAAGACGCTCATGAGAGAACTTTAAAACCTTCTTCAATAAAAATAACTGTGCTAACTTTTCTGGTGAAAAAAAGTACAATGAAGCCTTCCGGGGTTGGGTTTGCTAAGAATACGCGAAAAAATCAAACTTAAATCCCGTCCTCGGCCTCCACTTTAGGTCTCTATTGTGATGGCTGATACAAAAAAGATCGATGTGAAAAGGAGTAGTTTGAGGAGTCTCAGCTGAGGCCGAAGGATGCTGATAATGACGATGAAGAAGTGTGTACATGTACACCTCAGGGGCGGATTTAGGGGGAGGGTGGAGGGGTTCGCGCACCCCCGTTCCCCTCTAAGATGACCTGCGGCTTTCTAATTCAACTGGTATTTTGCCAAAAAAGAAAAATTGGTGGTTTATTGGTTCTGAAGTAAAACACGAGACGAGGTTGGAGAATTTACGTTAAACACCGTATTAAAAAATGGTAGTTTGGCACTGAATTCTGCTGTATCGTTTGATATGTATTCTCAGCAGCTCACTTTGCCTAGTCAAAAGCATGCAAAAGCCTTCTTCTTGGTATTCGCTTTTAAAATGTATTTACGTCACCAGTCAGTTATGCCATTCCTTGGCGGTGCACCCCCTCCTAAGAAAAATCCTGGATCCGCCCCTGCATCTGTTGCCTGCTTACTCATCCATGACTTTGAACTCTTCTGATCATTATACGATTCTGGGAAACTGCCCACCTACCCCTCCCCTAAGCCAATAGTTTTCCCTAACTGAGAAGTAAGTGTTAATGCTGGCTTAGGGGAGGGGTAGGTGGGCAGTTTCCCAGAAACGTATTATGATCCAACAATCTTATTCTGTGGTTTCGACTGTGGTTAGATACCCAGCTTTTTTTGAATGTTTACCTTGATATCAATTCACCAATATGTCCTCTTCCAAAGAGCTGAATTTGATGCTTTTCTGTATAGCTAAGCAAGACAAGTACTTGTAAGTAAAAAGGAGAGTTGCACAGACTGAATGTATCGTTCTTGACCAAGAAGCATATCAGCACTTAGCTCCCTACGCTGGTTATTTGAACAAAGTCTTGTTTATTTTTACTTTTTTTTAGAGACTCAAGAAGCCTCCAAATCTGTTTGTAAGGTGTCTATTTCATTAATATAAGTAGATGGATATGTTCTGTTCGCCTTCTCGATGCTGTTAGAGCGATTTTTGTATGACGTTGAAAAATGATTTCCGTAAGTGTTCGTTATTTGTTTTATCAGCCAGTGGATGAAAAGATCAAAACATGGCCTCTTCGTTTTCCCGCCAAAGAAAACCCTAATATAGAGAAGGCATTGTTCGATTGGCCAATCGCGTTGCATTATGACGTCAAAGCGACGTATCGATTGATTTCTAGAAAGTTCTCGGGCATAAAGTGTTTTCACCCGAGCGTTCGTTTAACTAACCAAAAGCCACGCGCGTTTGTATCCATTCGATAAACTAATCAAATCGCTCCATTTCCGTTCGTTTGTTGTTTCTGTTTTGTTCGCGCGTTTTCATTTCAAGGTCATAGGAAAGTCGCTCTAACAACAACCTATGTTTAGATGTGAAATCTGTTTTAATAACGGGCATTAATCAGGGCTCTCAGTGACGCCCAGGGGCTTGGGATTTCTCCCACAACTAAGAATACGACCCCCTGCTACTTTCGAAGGCCTGCAGCTCGTGGTTCAATTGAGTTATGAACATTTTGATGTCATTTCTATGGTCTATTTGATTTCTTACAATATAGAAGGAAAAGAACTTGCTACCTGTCCAGTTCCTGACCTCCTAATTGTATATACCTGGCAACATTGAAACCTTAGTCCAAACAAGAGTTGTATTATTAAAACAGCCAAAATTTTAACAGTACCACCCTTAGGTAAGTACCTCCGGACTGTGACAAGAGCCTGTGTTGTTTTGAAGCACTTGAATCAAGAGCAGTCATGATAATTATTGGTACTATACAGCAATACAGTCAAGTCAACTATGGTAAATCTACATTCAATAATTTACAATGATTTGTATTTTTCACAAACAGCGTAAAACCAATTTGTTATGTGTATCTCAATAATACTAATTAAAATAAATAAAAACTACTGCGCCAAAAAAAATCAATAAAAAAGCTTGTTTCAACTAAACGTGTCAATGGTGATTGCACAAAAAAGCTTGGTACAGTCATGTGATTACTTACAGTGGATTGTAGTCGACAGCAGTGTCTTCTCCTGTGTCCCAGTCAAACACAAACTTTCTGTCAGCGAGACGACGAACCTTCTTTCTTTTTTTTGGCTCCACCAAGGTATTGCTCCTGGAATGAAGCAGGACAGATGAATATTGTTAAAGGCCCATTTACGCAGGTGACATTTTGTGCAATTTTAGGCATGATTTCTTCCAAGGTAGATTCTTAGTAACACTCGCACAGAAAATCACTGATAAATCACATCAGGATCGAGCAGTGAAAAAACACTGATTTAGAGGAGACAAATAGCCATAAAATTCCCACTAATTTGTACAGACAATTTATACAAAATACTCCCTCCTAAAACAATTGGACAAAAAACTGGCCCATGTACCTTTTAGATCAGCATAAAATTCTCAGATTTGCCCACCTGACTACCCCCCACCCCCCTCCCCCACTAAACCAACAATGACATTACTACTTTTCCCTTGGGGCAAAATTTTGGGTTAGGGAAGGGATAGGTAGGTAGTTTCCAAGTTTCTCTAAGTAGACATTTTTATGAACTTATAAGACCTTTTGTCTTCCAATACTATCTTGAAAACCAAGGCTGTGCTCTAGCAATGCCAGCTTGATCCCTGGTGCCTAACATTTGCTCCTGGGTTCATGAAACTAGTGGTCTCAGCTTCCACGAGTATCCTGTAGCTCAGTGGTAGAGCCTCTGGACTAGTAACCACAAGGTCATAGGTTCAACTCCTATTAGGCTGATTTAGACAGTACAATTTTTGCTCACAACTATCGTGCACGACTAGCATACTTCACGCCTTTTGACCATCCACACGCGCACAATTTTCACTTATGACATCCACAATGTGTCGTACAAATGAAGTGGGTCTAATTTACGCAACACAATCTGTTGTGAAGTCATGACGCATGCTAGTCCTGCACGATAGTCATAGGCAAAAATCATACCGTCTAAATCGGTCTTTTGGAAAACTGGGATTTTTTTCTTCTGAGTCACCTGTGTCACTGACGGAAAAATCATCTTTCTCATAGAAAATCCTAGTTGTTTCATAGAAATCATGTGCTGACACTCTTCCATTCCATACCATCTGAATAACTGCAACAGACTATTTTTTACTTGTATACTAGATAAAGATGTTACCTTCTTTTAACAATTTTATTACTTGCATACATGTATAAACACTGTCTCGTTCACACACAAATCTCATTTAGATGATGATACATTACCTTGATAGCTTGCACCTCTTTATCTTGCTCTTTCTCCTACAAGAATAAAGAGAACTACACTGTGCATGTTTACTACAAATTAAATTAACATCACCTAAACCCTTAGATACAAATGTCTAAGACTTGAAGGAGTCAGAATGACCAAGTTGTGTGGGGTGCTGGAGTCAAACTTAATCAAATCAGGTTCAAATCATGCTCTTACCACTAGCAAGGGTTGTTCACAGTAGTGGCAAGTTCAATTCCTCAGCCATACCTGCTTGAAGATAGTCAACTGGCATGAATCCATTGGGATTCTTAAATGTATGTGCTATGTTAAATAAGATTATTATTTTTTCATTATTTGCAGGCCATGTTAATCTAAGCCACCATTTGTATTTGTTTTATTGGCCCCTGCTTTATATTCCTGTGTAAATACACTCATCTGTAAAATCTTTTGCAATACCTGTGATTTATAATTTTACATACATTGTAACCACTGCTGAGTTTTTGGTAAAATCTATAATAATCCTAGTACCTTTCGCAGCCTTTCTTTTTTACTCTCAGCCTAAAAAAAAAAAGAGTTTTCAAACAGAGTAAATAAATAAGTACACTGTAAGAATCATTCTTCACTTTTGCAAATAATCACTCACCACTGACTTTGCACTAATGAGTAAATTAATATCACATGTTCTTCCTCCCAATTAATGTTCATTATCTAGAGCCTTCTAGTGACTGAACCAGGATAAGATCATGGGATCCAAATCTCCTTAAATTCACCCATCAGACCAGAAAAAAATTGTAATTGAATAACTAACAGCTTTTAAACAAAAAATAATTTATTACTACCAACAACAGATCAAGTTTAAGGACCTAAGTAGTTGAAGTTTACTAGAAAATAACTATCAGGAAGGGTGGGAATAATTAGCTGTAAAATAGTTTTGATGGTGAGGTCAAGTTTGGACCACTACGGAAAAAAATTCATGATCCACCCTTGCCCTTAACAGGCAAAGACACTACCTCTTCTTCAGTTTGGTTCTTTTCTTTTCTTTCCCTCCTTTCTCTTCTTTCCCTTTCCACTTTGTCCTCTTTAGAAAATGAAAAAAAAAACATATTTTAAAGTTTATCGAAATAATATTTTTATTAAAAAAAATAATAATACAGCAAACTGTACTATTAAAGAAGTGAGGATGATTATGTTAATGATGAGAGCAGTGAACTGTCTAGGTCTAAAGTTGCAACTTCTAAAGCCATCATCCTCATTCTTCTTTTTGGGAAATATCATGTAATTATACAACAACAACAACAAATTTTATTGAAAATTGGAAAAATAACTAATTACATTACTTTCCCACCCGCAAACACAGGAAAAAATAACCGATTCCCAGTTTTGGATATTTTAGGGTATTTAAAGAATACCCACAAAAATCCCAAATTTGGAAGAGTGAGACAAGTCCCAATCAGGGAACTTGGTTGGGAATTTCCTGGTTGGGACTTGTCTCACTTTGCCAAATTTGGGATTTTTATGGGTATTCTTTAAATACCCTAAAATATCCAAAAATGGGAATCCGTTATTTTTTCCTGTGAAATAGCTTATGAACTAATCAAGGCGGGGGGAGCTGAAGACATATTACAAAACAAGATTTATATATGGATGGACTAAATAACAGTGAAGACACTACTATACAGTAAATAGAATTTAAACTAACACAAAACAAGGCAAGTACGTAACGATTACGAAGAGAGGCTAACCTAAAGTATTAAATGACTTAATAAGACGGGAGACTTTGAAATAATCATCTACTGACCGCAAGAAATTTAGTAATAATTCCTTTATTTTTTTTAGCTGGAGCATTTTCATGCATGTCCCTCTTTAAGGGTAAGTTAAATTCCATCATTGAGATAGAATGACAAGTAGCACATTGCTGTAATTCTTCGACCACCTTTTCAAACAAATGGAAACTTTTTCTTATTTAAATTTGTTGGCTTGCACCTGTTACCCTATTAACTTCCTAATTGCTTTGTTAACTATACCTCCCCCTTAAAGTAAAACCATCCACCCATTCCTCTTTTCCTTTCCTCAAGAAACTATGTAAGTCAAGCATTTAGTCAGGCCTAAATTAAACCGCAGTTATTTCATGTAACTGTCAGTTTTATCTGTTGTATATGTAATTATGTAAAAATAATCTATTTTTCTTTTTGTCTTTATTTTCATTAATAATTATCTGTACTTTTCTGTGCTACATGATGTTTAAAGCATTAAAAAACAGTATGAAATGATTTGGGTTCTCTTATTTAAAAACGTTTTTCCAATACTTACCTCTTGAATATTGTGCCTCTCCTAAAAACTTCTCTCTCATTTGACACTCCTCCTGTTTGTTTTAAAATGAAAAGCCACAAAAAAGGCAAAAATCAAGACCAACCATTTTTCAGTTTTCTAAAGTTATCCAAACCAGTCGGTACAGTGGAACCCCGTTAATACCGTCACCAATATGCCAAAAAAAATTGGCTGTAATGACAAGGAGATCATAATTATTAACGAGGATTTCTTTACAAGAAAATGTATGGTCTTTGTTGTCTGATGGCCGAAAAAAAGTGGCCGTAATAACAAGGTGACCATATTACCGAGGTGGCCATAAGGTGGGGTTCCACTGTAATAAATTTTGTTTGTTCTGACAAGTCAAGTGGAAGGTGAAAAACATAATAATAACTTATAAAGAAAATAAATAATTATTTTAGGCAAAGCTCAAAATGAACCATCTGAGAGTACAATGTACAATGTAGATGGTATGGAATTTATAATTTTTCTGCTCAAATGAAGAAATGAGCTGACAGAAACTGTCCAAAACAGTTATATTCTTAGGGATGGAACTGGCATGAAATTTCTCATATTTAAGTAGATATGATAAACAGTAAACTTTTTAGTGAAGACAAAGACTTAAGCGCAAGGTACACGTACAAATAAAATTGGATTCACCATTTGCCTTGAATGTGATTCTTAATCTCACTATCCATTGAATGAGCAACCATCTCTATAAACAACCAAAGTCTGGTGCAAAATAAATTTAAGAAATTCACATATGTAAGGAAGTCACAAAAAGGGACAAAACATGCATCTCTTTATAACTCAGTCTTTTTGTTTCTGTTCCTCAACTTGCTGTTGTCGTCTTTTCAATGCTTCCATTGCTCTCTGTTCCTTTGTTAAAAAAGTTGGCTAAAGACAACAAAAAATATATTTTATTCTAAAAAACAAACAAACAAACAAAACAAAATAACACAAGAGCAAAATCAATATTGAGTTAGTTCACTTGGTTTTTATTTACTACCCTGGTGAAGTAAAAGGTTGTGTCAACAAAATTAATGTCAGATCATTGAGCTTCATGATTAACCCTTTAAGTCCCAATAGTGACCAACAACAATTTTCTCCTAACAATATCCATACACTGTCAAGAGATAAAGTTAGGAGAATTAATAAAATGATCATCATAGAGAAAATTCCATGATCTTTAATCAAATTCTCTCAACTAGTAATTTTAAAGGAGATGTGTATGGAGATCAGTTTTGAGAATTTGTATGTGGATATTGGGGCTTGAAGGGTAAAGTCGGCCCACACTCATGTTACAACCAGTGCGTATTATATCTGAACTTTATTATAAAACATACAGTTGATAAAAGGTCCAGCTCATTATTATGACCTGAATGTCATGGTCCCTTAGAGGTCACAGAGACGGCGTTCCAATGTTCTGTATCATTGTGGGCAACAATCCTAATCTCCAGAGCCCAGTTGTTCGAATGCCGGTTAGCGCTAACCAGGGGTTAAATTTTAACCCGGGTTTCCTTATCTTGTTATCAAAAGAACTCTCTCGGATAATTTTCTCTATTCTTTTTAGAGTATCCAATCATCAAATTGTAGGGAAAGAGAATTAAACTGAATTTGCTTTTTAAGCCCTCATATCCGAGTCCAAATTTCGCACTAACTGTAGGTTATCTTAACCCAACTTCGAACAACCCGGCCCAGGTTGTTATTATGCATGCGTAGCATGAACTGTACATGTATGTAGCCAGCATTCATTTGGACTTCCACTAAGAATGAATGGAATGCACATAACACAATTTGATCACGGGTGTTTGGACCTTCGATCACTCGTAATCTGATCATGCATGCATGTTTTGAACATCTGTATAGTAAGACTTTAACTCAAAGCACAGGACAGCAAAAGTGTTTTAGCCTTCAATCTTTGTTGCTCACGTTCCATAACTTTTGGTATAGTTATATTTCAGTTCTATAGTACAGTACCACACCTTTTCTTGAGCTTTCTTTTCTCCCTCTCTTCTTGCTATCATTTCTTCCAGTGAAAGTGGCTGTGAAAATAATATACAAAAAACGTACTTTAGCTTACCCAGGTGGAAATCTTATTAACATCTTAACAAGATTCTTATTAAGATTCTTACCAAGATCTTAACAAGTATCTTATTAAGATTCTTGTAAAAGTAGTTTTGGCTGCCATGTTGGAGGGCAAGAGTATGCCCTCCAACATGGCGGCCAATACAAATCATACTACTTTGTTGAAAAATCAGAGTGCCATAAATATCTACCTTGAATGCGCCTCCTCTCAAATTTCAGGTGTACCATAATTTTTACGTGCTCTGTCAATTTTTGGCAACAGCAAGATTCCAACTCATTGTTTAAAGGAAGCATTGGTCACGTGATATCTTAGTGCAAGTGGCCTATTCATTTGATTTGTCCATCTACATGTATTTCCTCTACAAAACTCAAGGAAAAGAAGAGAAAAAACAAAACATCATAAGTTTTGTCAGTTTATAAATGTTATGAAAGAAGATTGTGAATTACTATGTAGATTATCACACCTTTTTATAAAATGGACTCTAATCATTGCAAAGTTGGCAATTATATCGCTAATAAATCTAAGAGAAAGAACATAAAATTAACAATAACTTGACTCACTACTATTCAAAACAATTTATAATAATTTCTAATATATCCATGAAACACTCCTTATAATATCATTTTCCTATCCCTGTACTCTTAAAATCTACAGTAGAACCCAAGAAACTTAAACTCTGTAAGAAAATACAAAAACATCTGGAAGTGGAGGTTCAAGTTATTGACGTCGGTTGAATAGCCAATATGCCATGTTAATATAGTTACTGATGGTTTCCTTTTCTAGCACATCAGTGTACAGTGCAATTCAAAGTAAAGTTATCTCATAAGAAACTACTATACCGGTACCTGACCGGGTATGACTCATAATATCAGAAAATGATTGTTAACCATATGATCTGTTCATCAAACTAATTAAAATCAAATTGCTTTCAGTAAGTTTCAGGTGTTTTGCACAACAAGAAGACCTAATGGGATGGCATAGGTTGTGTCAAATGGCAAGAGCTAGTTATAATGCTGGGTAAGGGAAGCAAAATTTATTGTAAGTTTTCAGGGAATTTAAGTTAACAAAGTGATGACTGAAAAGTGGGTTGAAATTCAGGAGAAACAGAACTTACAATTAATTTTGTGTTATCTGAGTTTGAGTTACTGGGGTTCCACTGTTGTCCATTCAATTTTTACTCTGCTTTTGGCCTTTTTTTATTTTTTATATCAAGGCATTTTTGGTTAAGAGATTGCCTCATGACTTTCCACTTTTTATTTAATAAATTTTCTCCATATTTTTCTCTGATGGCATCTGCAAAGCCAAAAAAACAATCAATATTATTACCTTTGCATAATTCTCTTTTGTTTCAGCGACCAAACCCTACAACCAGGGAAGGGAGGAGGGGTTCTCTTAAATAAAAAAACTTGATTGCAGACATAACTACACTGTATACTAACTTCATGTAATGTATCCATTTAAAACTCATAGCTGCAATCATGGTCATAATTCCTTGAAACACTTCTAGAAGAGACAAGTCTACGTTGTATGAAGGCAGAAACATGGCTCTACATTCTTCCATTCAATGTTAGTTGCACATACATTATGAATACCATTATTGAACGGGGAGGGGACCAAAAAGCCAGAAAGCATTCCAACAATTAGAATGGAATTGTGGCCAAGACTTTTAGGGGAATCGCAATTAAGACAAAGCAAGATTCACTCCGGATGAATTATATAATAATTTCTAATATTATTTTGTTTTATTCCCATGAGCCTTTCACAATATACAAACAAAAACAAAAAAAAGAAACATACACAAGAATACATTTACACAAATTTTAACTGTACTTACTTTTCAAAAGGTCTACTCTCTCTTGGTCAAGAGTAGCCTTGCCACTTGAGTGGCACAACTGGGCTCAACAATGCCATCGGCCATAATTCAGGACTCTACTGTAAAAAGTGTCGAAAACACTTTCAGCGCAAATTTTTTACTATCTCCACCAGAAGACAGTGACACCAAGTCAGTGCCATTAAACATCTAGTGGAAAGAAAATCAAAGACAGTTTCTCATCAATAATGAACAACTAAAAACAATTTCTTAAACATCAATATCAATATTGCATCAACACATTACCATTAACATTTAAAACTAGTGTTACAGTCACTGCGACAACTGTAACCTGGGCCCCTAGACAAAGTTGACCAATCGGATTACAGGAAAACCACAATACATTTCGAGAAAATTAGTTGTCAATCACAATTACCACGAAACCAAATAAACAACATGGATCAAAATCAACCAATTACAACTGACAGATGGAACCCACTGAAGATAGCATACGTTTCCCAAGAGGTCAATTTAAGAGTGAACGATGGAGGTGAAAAAATGTAGACGATAATTATATATTTTTGACTTGCGGTTGCAATGTTATTGCAAAGCGCACATATAAAAGTGAAGAAATTGCTGGTAGATGACAAAATAAGATCTTGTGTCAGAGAAATAGGTCTCCTGGGCATTGTTTGCTTGAAATGTATTGTTTTCTTGCAATTCAATTTTACCTTAGTGGCCCCGGTAAAAGTAGTCACACTGTAAGAGGAACCCTCTCTTGTGCCTGCAGAAGTGTCTGCTTATTTCAAATTCATTTGGGAGAAAAATCATGGAGGAGGGGGGGAATTTTTGGAACTCATAAGAGAGGGTTCCCACTCGTTTTCCTTTATATTTCCATTTTGAAATAAAAATTGATGATCATGTGTAAAAGGTTACATACTAGAGGTTGATTGGATGGTGTATTACATGCAGATGCTCCAGATGCTTCCCCCACATCGTCATCTAGCTTTAACTATAAAACAAACACACAAAAGAATTGAGAACCAACGTACAGTGTAATAAGCTGCATGGACGTGATACAAAACTTACTCATTGTAGGGTTATCACTTTCTCAAGCTACATTAATCCTAAGTCTGGAGTTTCCCAAAATCAAAATTGAAAAAAATAATTATTCCGGGTTTCTTTTCATGACAACTGGAACTATGCATTACCCAATATTTTGTGTCTTGCCTTGAATTCTCACAGATTGCAAGCACATATAATGTACAGTGTAGAAGGCACTGTCACTAAGGCTTAAGAACAATACAGCTTAAACACAGCATCATCACTCTTTACAAGTTCAGTCTCATGCATGATAGATGTGAGGTACAGAAAACTGCTGTACACTATAGGCACCTCTAATGCTATCACAAAACAGTTTGAAACTGGGGCAGTGTTATCACTTGGCCATCAACAAGAGATTTGTATCAATTAAAGTACAAAAGCAGTGGACATCATCATCCTGCTTACTATGACCTAGTACA